ATTTTGCAGTGCCGCAATTTACAGTATTCAGATACTCACCATACATTCATATACATGTACACCATACATGCCCGCCCTACATTCCTATGCACCATGCCTTCGGATACGTACCGTACATTCATAATGCAATGTACACACCATGCATTCGGATACATAATAGATGTCCACCATACATTCACTCAAAGCCTGTGTACATTTAGACACTTAAACTTTCCTCGAAGACGGCCTGAGAACCTGAATTGTGTGCTTTTCCGTAGTGTTCATTGTATGTATACACGTATCCAATACCAGCCACACATCTGGCATCCCGTGCTACACAAGATGGATGTGTTTGTGCCCGTTGTACTTTCGGATAGCTATCAAAAATCCAGAAAGCCGCCACTAAATACCAACCACACGTGTCATACCAACCATCCTCGCATGTACATTTAGAAAGCCATACTTGCACACAGAATACATTTGGATACCCATTTTTGTATTCAAATACAAGCACAGGCGGTAGCAGTTGTTTGATTGGGCTTGGCCATACCATAGTTGTTCATGCTTTGCGGATATATATGTATGAACTCAGCAGTAAACATTCGTTGGTGCCGGGCCATGGGTTTGGTACGGCTACGGAGTGACCGATCGCCGTGTTCCGCCTGGCCTGCATTTCCTCCTTGCACAGTGCTGGCCAGAGAAATCCAACGTCATGAATAAAGCAGCGCCGCGTTTGAGTGTGCCGAGCAGTATGTGTCTCGCAAGGACTGCGTCCGGTGCTATTTTATTCATGAGGTTGGATTCTCTGGCCAGCACATGTATATTCCGGCTTTTCTATATGCCATACTCCATTGCACATAAGCATTCAGAAGCATATAAGGCAGTGTTCCTATTATCGAGTACAATACTCCATGCATTCAGGTGCACACTATAGATAGAGAGGGCCTTGAGTAGTTTGGTTTCTAACTTTGCAAACACAGGAGTCTAAAGGCTGTTCTCGCTGTCTGTTTCAGTGAGTTTCATGCATGAAGTGAGCAGACTGCACGTAATCTTTGACTGCTATAATTATAATCATTGCATAATTCAGTAGTCTCAACACCATAACTGCATTATACATTACCAGTGGCATGTGTAGGGCCCTGCTCAGCACTTCACACCATGCGACGGAATGTCACTAACAATGTGACTGTCTTGAACCACACTGCCCATAGTGCAATAATGCAGCACCTCAGTCACCAGGTAGGCTAGAAAACACCACCTATGCAGTCTACACTTTGTGCAATAGTTCTGGTCTTCTACGTTCTAGATGGTGCTATCTTGAAAATAGTTTCGAGGCATGTGATACCGCCAATTTGAAATGCATCAGTGTGCCTTTGTTGTGATTTCTGGTCCTGTGAAAATGTGCTATTGGTGTAAACAAAGAGTACGCAAGTGCGATCATAGTACTGTATGGTCATTGCACGGTGCGTTGCCGTCCATCAATAGACATGGTTAGCATCTTACAGTTCACGCTATTCTCGACGGTCGGCGTGTAGAGGGCGAGTCTACTGTTTTTTTTTGTGTTTTCCGGAGACACGGTTAGCAGTTCGGCTTCTGACTCCTTACGCAACGATCGACTTGTGACGCAACCCTAGTTGGAATCTTACCGGTTCGTTGAAACGGTACCAAACCGACGGTATTTTGGGTGTTGGGTACGAGTACCGCTGGATCTAGCGCGTGAACGGTAAAATGCCATGTCTACACACACACAAAAACGGTACAGGCCGACCGTCGAAAATAGCGTGAACCGTAAAATGCTTACCATGTCTATTGTGTGTAACCTGCAGTAAATTGCTGTTATCATGCCCTGTACATACAGTGCATGCATGTCCTCCAAAACAAATATTTAATATTCAGACGTCCACTACAATGCCAGGTTACCACATGCACAGTAGATATTTACATACAAGCAGTTGTGTTTCTCAACGCAATTGTATAGCCGGTGGTAACGCGGACGTGCAAACTTTACTTTACAAGCAGGTGTATTCTTGTAATCACTATGCTCGGATACTGAAACCAATCAATTACATGCACATGTTAACATATGAATATCCACCTTGCTTCTAGGTATCCTACACATAATCATTGATTCCAGTTTCCAGTTCCTCCATGCCGACAGTTAGATACCCACCACACATCTACCAATACCATACCTACTGTTATACAGAGATTTCAGAGATTTCCCAGCCATTACTACTAGGCATTACCGGTACTCATGCCATGGTACTAGACGTAGTAGTACTGTAGTAGTATTACGTTACGTTAGACTACAACCAGGACAACGACTTGTCGTTGTAGAGCTGAGCCACAATGATTCCCCCCCCGCGATCAGCTAAAACAATGTCTTTGGGGTTTCGTAAAAAAGTTGAGAAAATTAATGACGAAATGAAAAGAAATGTTTTTTTCGAGCGCGTTCACTCTGCACTTCGTTCATGACTCGAGTGTGGCGATCATCTTCTCAAATTTTGTTCAAACACTTGTTTGGCGGTCTAGTTCAAGTAGCTGGCGAGCAAAGACTGACAATGTTCGTATCTAGTGACACTAGCAGCTCGCAGGGCCAGACGATCGCAGTGCATGGCCCAGGGCCAGGTTTGGTCAGGTGTAAGCAAGTCCGTGGGGGCGGGTCTGCAGAGCGACGCTGGCAATTAATTATTTGTTGGGATCTCAGTGATGTTGATGTCGACAGCGAAGCTGAATCGTCCCCGTCGTCTCCAGTAGCGAAGAGGCACAAGTTGTTGGCGAGTACATAATCAATAGGCGGCGAACCGGCTGCCTTACGACGTTACTTGCCGTTCAGCTCTCATGAGTCGTCTGACGCAGTCTCGAAAGCGCAGGCGACGATCGAAAGTGTCACTGCCAGAATCGAAAGAGTATGCAAGTGCAACGCCGCCCAGAGCATCGTGGTGCTTTCCAGGAAGAACTATGTTACTTGGGCCATGCCTTTGAACTGATGTCGTTGACATGCTCAAGTCTGTGTCAACATCTTTAGTTCCGTTGTATTGTGCTCCGCCGGCGGAGCGCGCGCCACAAAGCCACCAAGTAATAGTTTGTCTCTTTGTGTCAGACTGCGCGAAAACTGTCATTTTCTATTTCAAAGTACATATTTTGAAAGCGGTGTTTGGAGCACTTGTAGACTACTTTTCTGCCATATATCACCTTCAAGAGGTCAAGTAAGGTTCCAAGAACTGTTTTCTGGAGGAAAACAAAATTTGAAAAATTTCACTCTTAGACATGTTCTAGCTGGTTGTGGCCTATTATGTAGATCTACATAGAGGTGTCCAGTAGGCAGTAGATCTACTACTGAAGTATTGGACTGACTCTGTAGACGTGTATAAGTACAAATTTTCGTTTGGAATTTACTACTTCCGCTATATTCATCGGATATTGACATACAGTACTTTAATATTATTGAACAGACCTCGACCTAAAACCAAATTTAGTACGTAACAAGCCTGCTGGTGGAGTGATCTAACGACAGATTTCATGAACGAAAATTTGTATACAGTAGTCCGTAGCGGAGAGTCGAGAGTCGAGACCGCTTGACCGCTTGGATAAAAGACTGTACAGTCGGTCCAACCTACAAGAACTAATTACTTTGTAGTCATGTCCATGATGTTGGGCCGGCCTGCGCAAGCCTATCGCTAGGCTTTCCCTTCGTAGCGGAAAACAAAAATTTTAATAATTTCATTCAAAGCAACGACCTGATGACTGTGTCACAGCTTGTTGTGTCACTGACTCACTGTGCCTTGGTTTTCATGATGGTTTTAGGAGGGAGCTGGTGTGTGTGACCTGGTGACAGTCAGGACTACACTACAGACTGTCAGTACTACAGTACAGACACTGAGACAGTACTGAGTAGACCAGGCAGACGCGTGCTGCAGTCACCAGGTCACGGCGCGGCGGTGGCCAGGTAACAGCACTGCACTGTCCCCGGGGAAAATTGCGGAAAAAAATCGCAAAAAACGCGGGGAAAAACGCGGCATAATATGGCATAATTTGCGGTGAATTTGCGGTAAATATGGAGTGAATAATATTGATGTGCGGCAATTTTCAGTGAATATGTAGTGAAATCAATCAGGTACAAGTCTCTGGTGTAAGCACTCGTCATATTTGAGTAAAAAGCCGCCACGATCAGACGTTGCTGACCGAACAGTGCACTGTGTGTACGTGTAGTGCAACAAAAAAGTTCAAAAAACGCGGGAAAATCGCGGAAAACGCGGTCTTTTAAAAAATCACAAAAAACGCGGAAAAAAACGCGGCCGCGGAATCGCAATTTTCCCCGGGGACAGACTGCACTGCGGACGGAAGCGTTCCTTTGCGCAGGCGATCAAGAGTCTACTCAGAATAGTCTCTGTATACCAGGTATACAGTCATCGGTCATGTAGACTCTACTAGTCTGTCAGTACTGTACTGAGCTGATGACACAGACTCAGTGACAGTGACCAGGTGACAGTCTGTACAATCATGTAGATCTTACTGGTAGTAGACCTACGGTGGATGTGACTTCACATAGTCATTCTTTGCGATGTGAGCGCACCGTACCGCTTCGGGGGGTCGGATTTCAGTTGCCATCACTGTTGTATGTCGTGGAGTGATCTGGAACTGTTACCTGGTTACTGTGTTACGTACAATGTAGTGTAGTGTGTACATGTGTGCTGAATGCTGATGTAGCCAACCATACAAAGCGTGGTATTGGAGACCGTGTCGTGTGCGCTACGACTCGTGTAGATCTACATCATTCTAATCTACAGACAGTAGATCTACAATACAGAGTGCACAGTCAGTGTAGCCACTCTGTTTTTAGTCTGTAGCATGCAGCGAGGACTGGCGCGCAGTGCAGCTGCATCTTGCATCCAGCACGCGGATTACCATGATTACACGTACACACTGGCAGGTTATTGTTATGCAGATCGCATTTCAGTAGGTGCCGACATCTCTCCCGGCAATAGCGGCAGGTTTGTTATTAGAGGCAATGCCGGGAATCATGCCTCATGGTCGTCGTGTTTCCTGTCTCCAGCTAGACTGCAGTGTATCTCATGATGATTCATGAGTCGCAGTACTGCATCTTCGCTGCAAGTGTTGCCTCGGCGATGCATGATGTTACCTCTGACTCTGAGTGGCTAGAAAATTATTGTCAGAACATGCCAGTTTGCGGCAAGCGGCGCGCACAGTCCGTAGTAGGTAACGTAATTACCATGATTACGAACGGATGCAGAAGCTCACAATCTCTACGTTTCACTGCCATCACCGTTCAAGGGGAGAGATACCGTCCTTACCCGTCTACTCCTTATCGACTTGGACCTAGGATAAAAGGTGAGGTCAAAAGATTGCCGTAAACGTACAGCACTCGGCAATGCCGCTAATGAGTAATGAGTAATGAGTAATGTTGATTTCATAGCACAATATCAATCAACACTTGCGTGGTTGCCACCAATAATTAATTTTGTCGTGTCCCTCTCCCTTGCATGTCCCTCTCCCTTGCATGTCCCTCTCCCTTGCATGTCCCTCTCCCTTGCATGTCCCTCTCCCTTGCATGTCCCTCTCCCTTGCCTTTCCTAACTGTCATAAGCGGCTCACTGCTTTGTTATCAACAATGATTAAAAATAAAAAAAGTTTCCATGGAGATAAGAATATTAGGGTGCGTTCTTAAATCCTCTCGGAAAAGTTGGAGACTCTCCAAGCTTTAGAGGTGGTTGAAACTTGGAGATTCCCGCGGTTTGGGATCAGCGCATGCGAACTACGGCTAAAAGCCACGTGTTGATCATGAGTGTACGCATTTTTATTGTATTATTATTTATTCTTCTTTTACTAGGGAATTCCCAACAGGCACCAGCTCCTTTTTACAGGGAACCCTAGCCTAGGTATGATTTGATGGATGAGCGAAATTCAGCTGGTGAACTAGACATGCGGCAAGCCGGTGGAAGTGTATTCCACCTGGCATCGCCCAAATAAGAAATTGCACTAAAGCCATATCGGGTGTTAGCGGGGGGCAGAACAAGAGCAGCAGAGACTTGGCCACGGGTGGTGGCTGCAGTGTGAGCACCATGGGCGCGCAGGGTAAAGCGGTCTCGCAGAAGAGGACTAGCAAGTCCATTCAGGCAGCGGAAAACAAATACATAGGTTTTGAAGTTGAGGCGTTTCTCAAGGGCGTACAAGTTAGTATGACTGTATAGAAGAGTGGTGGGAGTCATTCTATCCAACCAAAACATTCTCTTTAATGCTACGCGGCTGGCAGTAAGAAGCTTGTCATATAGGGCTTGTGATAAGCAATGAATATATGCAGTGCTGCCAAACTCAAATGTGGACTGAATGATCGATAGAAAAGTCGTTTGCCAAAAATGCTGATATTCTGCTTTGCATGGACAAATGCTCCGACCTTCCTGTTGACATTTGCACATACTGCATCCACTTGGGTTGAGAAAGACAGATGTTCGTCAACCAGTATTCCTAAGTACCGAGCGTAGTATTTCCCTTTTCTAATACGCACATGTGCATACTACGTTAATAACTCAAGATCGCGGCCCCTTTGCCGCTTCATATTGCTTCACATGTGCAAAATATCTCCAAATTCTTCGAGACCCGTTCTGGAGCTATCCCAGATTCTTCGACTTCTCTTTTCTTCTTCTCCTAGAAGCTAGAGAATATAAGAACGCACCCTTAGTAGCGCAATGAATAGAGCATAAAGCCTAGTTCACATTCGACGGAACGCTGACGGTACGGGACGTAAGGGCCTGTCGGGAAGGCTGGGGGTGAGCTGTAAAATCTTGTACGATTCGTACGACATGACATGGTGCAGTCGTTGCGCCGTTCAATAGCGAACGGCACCAGTCATTGAATGAAGCGGAATCAAGTTCACAATACTAGTTTTTCATGAACACCAAAAAAGTAGCTTCGAAAGGTGTGCCATTCAAATAATAGCTCCAGGAAATGATAAAACAGCTCGTCTGTCACGCTTCTGAACTATCCCTAAATACCATAAGTGACATCAGACATTATCTTGCTAAAATTCAACTCAAGTCGTTTTAGCCATTCTGCGAGTTATCATGGGAAGCGCAGTGTTCGAAATGCGAAAAATTTCCATGTACGAATCGGGAGTAGTGGGTGCACGACGCCGTCTCCTGTTCACACTCAAAATGCAGCTGTTTTGTACGCTTGTGTCCCCGTCTACGTCGTCTACGGTATGAAAAGTTGGATCGATCCAACTCTTCTCGTCGCTTTCCGATCCGTACGGCAGTATGGTTGCGTTCCCGTTCCGGGTGTTCACATGGGACGCCGTCAGACTGCAGGGCTGCCACTTGCTCAGATTTTTCGTAAATCGTCAGATTTTTGATCGCCTGTCCGACAAACCGACCAATTTTGTTCCCCAAGAGGGTCAACCGATTATTTTATTTTGAGAGCTTTTTAGTCCAGTTGGCCATTAATTCATAATTGACATGGTTGTAGTGCGTGTGCTGGACAGTTAAAAATGTGTTCTGGGGCCCCAACAGCAAGCCATTTTTCTAAAAAAATTCACCGCGGTGGCCCTGCCGCCTGCACCCCGCCGGGGGAATCCCCCGGACCACCACGACAGATTTTTCTCCCTCCAAGTGTGGCAGCCCTGAGACTGTCCCGTTTCCCCTCAATCCTTACGTCGCGCCCCGTCGGATGTGAACTAGGCTAGGCTTAATTGCGCACTCAGTACAAACACCATTAGCAACAACTGCTTGTTCTGTATGTTCCTTTTAATGTTTTAGATGCCATCTCATCAGGAGGATTTTCTAGCAAGTCGAAATCATTCGAATACCTCAATAACGCAAATTGCAAAGTGGTAACTTTTAACTTATTTAGCGGGAACAATGAGAGCTGAGAGAAATACCAATCAAAACATGGGATGACAAGAAATGAGATAAATTCACAACCAGTTAGTAATCACGCAAACATGAAGGTGAATACTACTGATCTAAATTTACAAATATTTTCGGTGTGAACAAATTCTTTTTCTGCTTGTGCAGGACTGTTTAGGTGGTAAAGATGTAGGTCAATTGTAATACACGCAAATATCTTTGACTACGTGAAGGGGACCATGGAAACCAATCATCAGTACAACGACAAACACTATACTGGAGAAAGCAGAAATTTTCGGTTGGGTTTTATTATTGGTAACTTCGATGCCTCAGAACTAAATATTGCGACAGAGCCTTCGGCCATATTTCCAATTTATTGCATTCCCAACTCATCACAACCACGCGCTCTTCAGCCGAACCATACAGACACCAGCAACGACACTTCTGTTGAGAGATAATATTGTTCCACGCCTCTAGACAGCTGTTTCGCTCCCTGTCGGAGCTCATCAGTAGAGGATGATAATGGAGGAATGATCATTCTTATGCACCAGATATGGCGCAAGTGCGCGTTTTCCACTTTACCATTTTAGCAGCTTGCATATGCCATTGTTACATGTGGAAAACGCGCACTTGCGCCATTTCTGGTGCATAAGAATGATCATTCCTCCATTATCATCATTATCATCCTCTACTGATGAGCTCCGACAGGGAGCGAAACAGCTGTCTAGAGGCGTGGAACAATATTACAGTCAACTTCGCGTATAACGACACTCGGCGGGGCATCAGAAAAGTGTCGTTATTTGCGAAGTGTCGTTATACCCGAAGTCTCATTATATGTATTACAATTGGATGGGACTTTGCTCTGGGCATGGAAATTCTGTCGTTATTCGCGAATTGTCGTTATATCCGCAGTCGTTATTGGCGAAGTTGACTGTATCTCTCAACGGAAGTGCCGTTGCTGGTGTCTGTAGGGTTCGGCTGAAGAGCGTGTGGTTGTGATGAGTTGGGAATGCAATGACTTCAATGCCGACATTTTTTACCTAAAATAAAACGCACTGAAAATTTCAGTACTATAGTCCGTTTCAAAAAGATTAGTAATCAGGTTCTGGTCGTGCCAAGGCGGAGGTGAGGATAACAGCACGGAATGCTGTCAAAGCCCAAGCCCTGCTGCTCCGCTCCAGTGTGCCGGAGGCCAAGCAGCGTGTAATCGACCTGGCTGCGGAGAAGGGCTCTTCCAGTTGTCTGACCTGCAGGCCCTTGAAGCGCCATGGATTTGCCCTCTCCAAAGCGGAGTTTCGCGATGGAGTGCACCTAAGATACAACTGGCAACCACAGCGCATGCCATCAGGGTGCGTTTGTGGAAGCCAGTTTACTGTGGCCCATGCCCTCTCATGCCCCACCGGCGGTTACCCTACCATCAGGCATAACGAGATCCGCGATGTGACCGCTGGTTTCTTGAAGCGTGTTGCCACCAACGTATCTGTAGAGCCTCATCTGGAGCCCCTGAGTGGGGAGCAGCTGCGTTATCGCACCGCCATCCGCGACGACCAGGCTCGCTTGGACGTAGCAGCAAATGGAGTGTGGGGAGGGCGGTTCGAACGCACCTTCTTCGACGTCCGGGTGTTCAACCCTTTTGCGTCTTCGAACCAGTCCTCCTCCATTTCTGCCACCTACGTTCGCCATGAGAAAGCGAAGAAGAGATCGTATGAAGAGAGGCTGCGGGAGATCGAGCATGCTTCATTTGTCCCGTTGGTCTTCTCGACAACCGGTGGCATGGGCAAGCAATCTGCCTCGCTTTACAAGCGAATTGCATCTCTCATTGCTGAGAAAAGCAGCGAACCGTATTCGGTTGTTATGTCATTCATCCGCTGCCGCCTTAGCTTTGTGTTGCTCAGAGCGAGTGTCATGTGCCTGCGTGGTAGCCGCTCTGTTTTCGCTGAACATGCACCTGTCTCTTCTTCTGCCTCCCTAGTTGCTGCCGAAGCTGGCACTTCCCGTCATTAATTTTATAGTCTTTAGTTCTTTAATATTATTATTTGCCATGGCGACCCCCGTAAGCCCAAATAGCTGGCAGGGCAGGGTTGTGCCTTTTTTCTTTTACTTCACAGGTGTAGCATTTTATCAGTCATTACGTATGATTTATACAGTGGCAGTACCAGGCGTGGGCCATCCCCTGGATTATCAAAATGGGTGCCTTATCATTTTTTTCTGTTTTTACACTATCTGTATCATGTAAAAAATTATTCGAATGCCAAAAAGAAAATCAGAGAGAAAAAAAAGGTTCTGGTCGTGAGAAGAAGTAGCGACGACCCGGCCATTATGGAATCCAATACACCACACCACCGCATTGCGCTCTTGGCCGATCCAATCTCTGCACTCACATCACCATCACCACAGCGAGGACAATTCGGGTATATATAGTGATATTGACAATGACCCTCCAGACAGCTGTTTCGCTCCTCCTGAGCTCATCAGCGGAGGAATATGATGTTGAATGAAAGAATAATAAGAATTGACGATCTTTATAGGGCTAAATTGGTGCTATTGCGCTCATTCTGCATAGAAACGTGGCATACCCTAAGTGACAAAAGTGATAACAAGGTCAGGTGATAACGACACGCGCTCCTGTCTGGGACAGGAACATGTAGCACACCTCGTCGTTCGTTCCCCGTCACGTCACTATGGGACAAGTACAGTCAGCCTCAGTATCTTTGTTTTTGTGGCACATGCGATAACTAACTTTACTGGTGCTAGACTGACTGCTGTTTTTTGCGCCCCCCCCCCCCCTTTTCAGACGTGCTAGTTGTTGCGCATGCGTGGACTATGTGGAGCATGCGCTGTAAGAGTAATGTTGGTGTGTACTTTATTTTCATATTGCAATTGAAAGGAACTATAAAGTCAATATGCAAGGGAAACAAATTGAAAATAAGCTTTTGGAGCCATCAACAGGGACATGTACATGATTGTACATGTATGATGATTAGTGATTACTGTACAATCATGGACAACCACAATGTGCGAGTTCATTAGAGAAATGTGCCTCTTTTTCTTGGTGCACATCCCTATGTCCAGCTATACAACGAGATGAGGATGGTCATTGTCAGTTTCTGGGCTGCGAACAGGCAGAAAGGTGAGAATATGTCAAATTTTCACCATTTGTGCCCACCTTTCAATTTCAATGTACCCCTCTATAACACGACCCGGCTGTATTGTCAGTGGTCGAATTGATTTGATTTTTGGTTTGCTTGTAGGCCGCTGTCACTCACATTCGGTGTCCTGGAATTGTTTAGTGGCAAATTGAAGAATCACGGGCAAAAAGCCCCAAACTTGGAGATAGGCTATTTTTCAGGTTTCAGCAGCCCTGGTCGAGTTCGTTAGAGAAATGTGGCTCTTTTTCCTGGTGCACATCCCTATGTCCAGCTATACAACGAGATGAGGATGGTGATTGTCAGTTTCTGAGCTGCTAATGGGCACAAAGGTGAGAAAAATGTCTCTTCTCTGCGTTTGACGTCACAGTATAAGAATTAGCAGAGAAGTAGTGTTCTCTGTCCACCCGGGAACGGGTATGAGGGAGCACGGTGTGGGATAAAAGGATGTGATGAGCGCATGGTCGGCCTCTTTTTTCTTTGTACGGAGAGTTGAGTGAGAGTGAAATTTTTTTTGAAAGTTGTTTTGGTTGGGAGAAGAATGTCGAGGTCGAGAAGTGTGTCGTGTAGTGGTAGTGAGAGTGAAGGGTATGACGAGGAGAGTCGGAGGATGAGAGAGATGGCTGTGCGATTGGAGACGTTGTTCTGGAAGGACAACTCCCGACACATCAATGGGAGACAAATATCTCCCGGCACAACTAAGGCACAGTAGTTAATTAATATTTATAATTCATACTATTAGAATAACATTGATGAGACCTGACCGGTTTCTGCACGTAGAGTGCTTCATCAGAGAAATGAAAAATGTTGTCTCGACTATAGCTTGTATACACAGCAAAAGAAATCAACAGATGCAGTAAAAGGTGCAAGAGATGCAATGCAGTTGCCACCATAGAGGTGTTAAGCAACAATTTGAGAGCGAAAAAGCGCAATGCTGCTATAGGGTTCTACTGTAGAGTTCATAAACCGCAGAGTTAAATTGCATAATCCAGGAAAGGTGCATGAACTGCAGGTAAGGTTAAAAGAAACTTCTGGAACCAACCAAAAATACAACTTTTTAGCTTGTGAGAAATATGTCACTTCTCTGCGTTTGACGTCACAGTATCAGAATTAGCAGAGAAGTAGTGTTCTCTGTCCAGCCGGGAACGGGTATGAGGGAGCACGGTGTGGGATAAAAGGAGGTGACGAGTGCAGGGTCGGCCTCTTTTGTCTTGGTGTGGAGAGTTGAGTGAGAGTGAAATTTATTTTGAAAGTTGTTTTGGTTAGGAGAAGAATGTCGAGGTCGAGAAGTGTGTCGCGTAGTGGTAGTGAGAGTGAAGGGTATGACGAGGAGAGACGGAGGATGAGAGAGATGGCTGTGAGATGGGAGATGTTGGAGAGGAAGTTGGAGAAGACGGAGAGTCGTAAAAGGAAAAGAGAGAGTAGGAGTAGCAGTGAGAGTGAGTCAGAGAAGAGCAGGAGAAGAGGCAGGAGTAGACGTAGCAAGAAGAGCAAGAGGAGCAAGGAGAGTAAGCAGATGAATAGGGAGAGACAGGACGAGAGGATGGCGTCGGCGAAAAAGAGAATTTGGAAAGCCAAGGCCCACGAGAAGCAATTCAACGTGCTGAGCAAGGCGTTGGAGCCTCTAGCCAAGGCAGAAGGCAGAGCGACGAGGAGAAGGAGATAATGCAAGGGTAATAGAAGAAGGTGAGATGATCCTCCATCGGCGGATTAAGTTATTGCTCTTCGCGGATGCGAACATATATATGACGGCAAGGTGGAGTGCGGTTTCGATACGGATGACGAGCGACAAATGAGAAGGGCCAGGGTGGAGGCCAAGGAGGGGAAGAGGAGCAACAGTAAGCCCTTTCCAGGAGGCCGCCCAGCCGGGGTCGGGCTCGGAGCGGCTGCTCGCACCCAGACCATGCCGGCGGCGCCGAAACCTCCCGGATTCGGCACCATCTTCAAGGAGCTGGCCTGTTGGCGGTGCGGAGGGAAGGGGCATGTGCAGCGGGACTGCACACCGCCTGCCCCAGGCCCAGCACCTGCCAGGTCATTCGCGGGACAGCAGCAGCAACAGCCAGGATGAAACAGATAAGTTTCATGTTGATGATGATGATGATGATGATGCCGATGATGAGAAGAGTGTTCAAGCTTATTCAGATGTTGTTGAAGGCGGATATGTTTCGGAAGGGGAAGGGGAAGGGGAAATCTTGGTAGAGGGTGAAGCTGTGATGCATGGGAGATTGAAACGGTGCATACCATTTTGGAGGGAGATGGGGGCTTCATCCTGGATTATTAGTATCTTGGAGGTCGGTTACGCGTTGCCGTTTGTAACAGACCCTCCGTCTGGTTTTTTAAGGAACCAGAAAAGCTGTTGGAAGCATGCGAAATTTGTTGATGAGGCATTGAAGGGGCTGGTAGACTGCGGGAGTGCGATGAAAGGGAAAGAATCTGAGTTAAATTGTGTTGGCCCGCTGGGCGTGGTGGAAGGTGCTAGGAAGCTGAGACTGTTTTTGGACTTGAGGCAAGTGAATGAATGCTTGGCAAAATTCAGGTTTAAATTGGATGATATCAGGATGGCAGTGAAGCTTTTTCAGAAAGGCGAATTTGTTGTAACATTCGATTTGAAGAGTGGTTATGGTTATCACCATGTTGATATGGCACGGGACCATTGGAATTATTTGGGATTCTCATGGGGAGGTGAATTTTATTGTTTTAAGTCATTGCCGTTTGGGCTTTCTACTGCTCCGTATCTTGTTAACAAATTGGTCCGTGTGATGGTTCGTTACTGGACGGCTCAGGGCATTAATTTAAGTACCTGATGTTCTTTGACGATGGCTCTGCAGGAGCGGGCACTGCGGAAGAGACAGTGAGGGTAGCAGGTGTGCTCACGGAGACGTTGGAAAGAGCGGCTTGGAAGATCAATGTGGAGAAATCTTGTCTTGTGCTTTCTCAGAAGCCTACCATTCTGGGTTTTGTGTTGGACTTGTTTCACGGGAGGGTAAGAGTGGCGGAGGCGAGAGTACATGTATATGTGTGTGTACGCGTGCGGCTCATGCACATGTGCAGAGGTGTTTGTGTCTGTGTGTGTGTGTGTGCCGCACGTGCATGTGTGCTGTAAAACTCCCCTAATTATGGCGCATCCGTCTAACATGTACCCTGCACCTTTCTGACTCCACTAGAGTCACAAAATGGGCTCCTCCGCAAAAGAAAGCCTCACAAACTATTTAAATAACCGACAAGGAGACAACCGTCGTAATACATGTATAGCTACGGGAATAAAACTAGTACTTGAAGTACTCATAACCATCCATCCATAAAACAATAATAGTGTGTGTGTGCGCGTGTGTGTGTGTGTGTGTGTGTGTGTGTGTATGTCCGTGTGTGTCTGTGTTGGTCAGGGGCATTGTGTGGATTGTCGTACCTGAACACCAATCACTCATTGGTTTGCTGTTTGTAAAATGCAAGTAGGGCCACAGTTTGTTGATTCACTTGCAGGGTAGATGATTCACTTGCAGGGTAGATTATTCACCTGCAGGGTAGATGATTCACTTGCAGGGTAGATGATTCACTTGCAGGGTAGATGATTCACTTGCAGAGTAGATGATTCACTTGCAGGGTAGATGATTCACTTGCAGGGTAGATGATTCACTTGCAGGGTAGATGGTTCACTTGCAGGGTAGATGGTTCACTTGCAGGGTAGATGATTCACTTGCAGGGTAGATGATTCACTTGCAGGGTAGATAATTCACTTGCAGGGTAGATGATTCACTTGCAGGGTAGATGATTCACTTGCAGGGTAGATGATTCACTTGCAGGGTAGATGATTCACTTGCAGGGTAGATGATTCACTTGCAGGGTAGATGATTCACTTGCAGGGTAGATGATTCACTTGCAGGGTAGATGATTCACTTGCAGGGTAGACGGTTGAAAAATACTTGTAACACTGATGTCAATCATTGGTGCTTTTGTGCGTGTGGCGTGCTGTGCGCAAGTGCAACCCGATAACCCTGATGATTCTTCTCAAACACTTTTCTGCTGCATACTCCCAATGCACACAGGCACCCGGATCACCGCAAGCGTCCAGACGTTGATCACTTGGTGCAACGGCTTAGCCATACGGCCGTCCTACTCGCCCCGGTGCCTCAGTCCAGTCCATTACCCAGGCAAGCATACTCTATTGGCGCACCGTTACACGCAAGTGAGAACATGTATGAAGATATGCAAGTGATATACTGCTTGCAGTCAAGACCTCGCCACTCTCCATGACGTCACAAGAGTTCCTGGGAAGTGATGGTGATGTCATGGCTGTGTGTATAGTATAATATACTGTACACCATGATATGGAAGTGTGTTGTATACAATATTATTGTATACAACACACGTCCATATCATGGTGAATGATCTCAGTGTGTGGTATCCGCACATGCTGGTCGGGAACTGAGAATACAGCATGTCAGTATTGATGCAATGCAATTGGAACTTGACTTGATATTGCATACGAATTATACTCAATTCGACTCTTGGTCTCCCCCACAATGTTTCGAAAAATGAACGTGTGTGTCCCACGCAGGGAGTAACACAAACGTTCACTATTTTCTGTCTTGATAACAATTAATATATTGAGCGTTCTTAGATTCAAGCCTGGCTATTTATGAGAACACAGTTTGTCCCGACCGAGTACATGTATCATATCCGTGCTATTTTTTTCACCTTCCCCCTTTTCATTCACTTAATTAAATACATGTACGTCGATTTTTGATGAGGTATTCAGCATGCTGGCAGTTTGGAGAGAAATTCAGTACTACATTAATCTAACTAAGTCTTAATATCTCACACACTCACATCTGGCATTTGCTTGGACTTGTACACTGTTCATTCGTATTATTATTATTATTGTTTGCATCCTCATATTGATGCTGGATGCTAAGTCCTGAGTTCCGCTTATGCTGCATGGCTTTCATGAGAGGAGCCATAGGAGTAAACATCCACATAGTTCTGATTACCTGTGCATTAGAGTGGATTCACCTTTCTTATCCTTGACTTGTGTGTGTGTGTGTGTGTGTATGTGTGTGTGTGTGTGTGTGTGTGTGTGTGTGTGTGTGTGTGTGTGTGTGTGTGTGTGTGTGTGTGTGTGTGTGTGTGTGTGTGTGTGTGTGTGTGTGTGTGTGTGTGTGTGTGTGTGTGTGTGTGTGTGTGTGTGTGTGTGTGTGTGTGTGTGTGTGTGTGTGTGTGTGTGTGTGTGTGTGTGTGTGTGTGTGTGTGTGTGTGTGTGTGTGTGTGTGTGTGTGTGTGTGTGTGTGTGTGTGTGTGTGTGTGTGTGTGTGTGTGTGTGTGTGTGTGTGTGTGTGTGTGTGTGTGTGTGTGTGTGTGTGTGTGTGTGTGTGTGTGTGTGTGTGTGTGTGTGTGTGTGTGTGTGTGTGTGTGTGTGTGTGTGTGTGTGTGTGTGTGTGTGTGTGTGTGTGTGTGTGTGTGTGTGTGTGTGTGTGTGTGTGTGTGTGTGTGTGTGTGTGTGTGTGTGTGTGTGTGTGTGTGTGTGTGTGTGTGTGTGTGTGTGTGTGTGTGTGTGTGTGTGTGTGTGTGTGTGTGTGTGTGTGTGTGTGTGTGTGTGTGTGTGTGTGTGTGTGTGTGTGTGTGTGTGTGTGTGTGTGTGTGTGTGTGTGTGTGTGTGTGTGTGTGTGTGTGTGTGTGTGTGTGTGTGTGTGTGTGTGTGTGTGTGTGTGTGTGTGTGTGTGTGTGTGTGTGTGTGTGTGTGTGTGTGTGTGTGTGTGTGTGTGTGTGTGTGTGTGTGTGTGTGTGTGTGTGTGTGTGTGTGTGTGTGTGTGTGTGTGTGTGTGTGTGTGTGTGTGTGTGTGTGTGTGTGTGTGTGTGTGTGTGTGTGTGTGTGTGTGTGTGTGTGTGTGTGTGTGTGTGTGTGTGTGTGTGTGTGTGTGTGTGTGTGTGTGTGTGTGTGTGTGTGTGTGTGTGTGTGTGTGTGTGTGTGTGTGTGTGTGTGTGTGTGTGTGTGTGTGTGTGTGTGTGTGTGTGTGTGTGTGTGTGTGTGTGTGTGTGTGTGTGTGTGTGTGTGTGTGTGTGTGTGTGTGTGTGTGTGTGTGTGTGTGTGTGTGTGTGTGTGTGTGTGTGTGTGTGTGTGTGTGTGTGTGTGTGTGTGTGTGTGTGTGTGTGTGTGTGTGTGTGTGTGTGTGTGTGTGTGTGTGTGTGTGTGTGTGTGTGTGTGTGTGTGTGTGTGTGTGTGTGTGTGTGTGTGTGTGTGTGTGTGTGTGTGTGTGTGTGCAGCGTTGCAAGCTGTTGAATGGTGCAATCCCAGCACAAGCTGCTATGACTTCTGCTGTAGCATCGCTATCATCGCCTCTGGCGAAGGGCGTCAAAATGGTCAAATGGTGTGTGTGTGTGTGTGTGTGCCTGTGTGTGTGTTTGTGTGTATGTGTGTGCGCATTCTTGGGTGCGTGCGTGCATCCATCCACACATGCATGTGCATGTAACTTGGTAGGTTGCTGAGTGAAGACTATACAAATTAATGACTCACACTGCACTGGAAGTGCCAAGTGGAGGAAGAGTGTTTGTTTGGGGGGGGGGGGGGGGTGGGGGCATCTGTGCACCTGTTTGGACCATGGTCGTATCATCACATGTACAGAGTGCGACGCGCCTACGCAGCATTTCGCTAGGCACACACGTAGCCTGGGCTATGCTATCTCAGACTCAAGTCTTACTGGACCAGCAGCTAGATGCACGCTGTAATCTGGTAATCCCCCCTCCCCCCCCCCCCTCCGCCTCGAATGATTATGTAATGACACTGACTGTCCTGTACTGTAGCTGCGCTCGCTGGTCTTTCCTTCAGTGCTTCACTTCAGTTCAGACTCCAGACCCAGTCACCAGCCCAGGTCACCATAGCCTAGGGCTTGAAAGTTCTACGTCACAGCATAGCAACAATTTCAAAAATTCAAAAACTGGATCCACTTGGATCCAGTTTTTGTATGGATCCAAGCACATTTCAAGCGGTCTTACCCACAGCATGGTGATGTAGCCAGTGAAACTGACTGATTTGGCTAGTGGGGGCGGGGTTACAACTGGTGGCGAAATAAAAGTCACACCTGCATGCGACATGAGTGGGTTGCTATGCACCCACATACTTAGGCAATAGCAAAGTCACACCTTAGTGGATCCAAAAATAGAAATCTGATGTCAACTTACTACTCCCTGGCCGTTTTGACGTCATCACTTTCAAGCCCTATTGCCATTGGCCACGGCGATCACCATGATCACTGCACTGCGGAAGCGTTTCTTTTGACGCGCGCAGGAGATCACCGTCAGTAAAACATGGTAAAATGTACGTACCGCATTTTCCCCATTAAACGTACACGTCTCCATTACTACTGTAGTACGTCCCCTATTGCACTACATCATACTGCATGTTGGGTGTGGATCGAAAATATAAAAGGACACGTCTCTAGTAATAGTACATGCCGGAATGATGTGATGGGCATTAGTGGTAGGACTTCGTTTTTCTTACCCGTTCATCTTCATTGTGTCTTTGTACACTGATTCTTACCATGGTTGGGTGTATTTACAGCCTTACTGCATCATTATCACGAGTTGTTTACCACCCAACCCAGGCAAGCAATCTTTCCAAAAACAATAAAAGTACACATCTCCAATACTACAGTACAGTCTCGTAGTACAGGTCTGACCACATTTGAAAAAATAAAAGGACTACATTTATTGGGGAAGATACCATGGATACGGCCGGGTACGGTAGATCTACATCAAAAGACCGGAAGCGTGTTTGGCCACAATAGATCTACCACTGACAGGTAAGAAGTCATGACATGGCTTGTTACCTGTCAGTGGTAGATCTATTGTGGCCAAACACACTTCCGGTCTTTGCAGAACTCAGTTGTCTACCGGATGCCATGGGCATGGTGTAGATCTACTACTACTAGATAGCGCTGCGAGTAGAACTACCATGATTACCAATGCCTGGAGAAGATCCACATGGGCACATCTACCAATACCATCTGGCCACGCGCGCTGACCTCGCAGCACTCACAGTACAGAGTCAGTGGCAGCAAGGAAACACACTGTACTGGCGCGCAAAACCTTCCCGTGCAGCTGCATCTAACTTCTAAGTAATAGTTAGTTCTTGCATGATCATGATGATGGTATTCCCGCGTTGCACAGCTAGCTAGCCTACACTACGCAGTCTACCGTACAGTCAGGATAATTAATCAGATCGTCCGTATTTCTGTAGATGCAGAAATCTCTCACAGACTGACTGTGGAGGAAGGAGTAGAGGCGATGCCTGCAATCACTATAATTGTCGTTGTGTGTCCTATCTCCAACCAGACTAGATCATCCTGTGTATCTACACAACACGTGTTGTCCCCGTAACGCAAGTTAGAATATTTGCATAATCTTACTATTTGCCTCTGAATCTAACTTCTATGGGAATAGAACGATATTGTCAGAGCAGGATAGTTTGTAGCAGTTTGTAGCAAGTGGCGCACATGGTCCGTAAATAGCTTAGCTACGAAGGGAATGCAGCAGCTGACAATTATTTCTACGTTACACTGCCACAAACGTTCAAGGTGAGAGAGATATTTCCCGTCTGCTCCTTATCGACTCGGACTTGGGAGAATGGGAGGTCGAAGAATAGCCGTGCAAGTACAGCACTGGGCATGCCGCTAATATCAATTTTATTACACAATAACAATCATTATCGCATTCTTAGTATTTGACCCCCCTGATTTCCCTGATACCTAAGCGGTCAAATATATCGCATATTGGACTGCTTAGTCAAAATACGCAGTTATACTTGACGTTTGAACGGATTGGGAGAAGCAGTGGTTAGAGCAATGCTCTTACCACTGAGCTATGGGACCAGGCTGAACCTAGAAGGCGCTGACAAGTTTTTCACTCCAAAGGCAGCTCACAACACGTGCCACACATACTGATGGCACTTGGGTCTTTCTCCCTCCCCCAAGGGACCAACTCTCGAACCTGGGACCCTGCTTGTCATGAGCAATGCTCTAACCACTGAGCTATGGGACCAGGCTTAGTGGTTAGAGCATTGCTCATGACAAGCAGGGTCCCAGGTTCGAGTCCTGGTGGGTCTGGCGATTTTTTCTCTTTTCAGGCAGTTCACTTCGCCAACTGATCCTTTGTATAGGGCTTGAAAGTGATGACGTCAAAAACGGCCAGGGAGTACTAAGTTGACATCAGATTTCTATTTTGGATCCACTAAGGTGTGACTTTGCTATTGCCTCAGTATGTGGGTGCATAGCAACCCACTCATGTCGTATGCAGGGGTGACTTTTACTTCGCCACCAGTTGTAACCCCGCCCCCAGTAGCCAAATCAGTCAGTTTCACTGGTTACATCACCTTGCTGTGAGTAAGACGGCTTGAAATGTGCTTGGATCCATACAAAAACTGGATCCAAGTGGATCCAATCTTTGAATTTTTGAAATTGTTGCTATGCTGTGACGTAGCACTTTCAAGCCCTATTTGAAGTTCTCCCAATCCGTTCAAAAATTAATCACTTTTCTTTCACTTCTGGTAGGGTCCAGAAACTGACCGTGGTTGGTCCCCTGGGGGAGGGAGAAAGACCCAAGTGCCATCAGTATGTGTGTAACGTGTTGTGAGCTGCCTTTGGAGTGAAAAACTTGTCAGCTCCTTCTAGGTTCAGCCTGGTCCCATAGCTCAGTGGTTAGAGCATTGCTCATGACAAGCAGTCAAGCAGGTTCGAGTCCTGGTGGGTCTGGCGATTTTTTCTCTTTTCAGGCAGTTTACTTCCCCAACTGATCCTTTGTATTTGAAGTTCTCCCAATCCGTTCAAAAATTAATCACTTATACTTGACTGTTAATAGTTGACTGCTTAGAACCTCTTGGACACATACATTGTCTCTCCAACTGAGAAAAAGAAAATTTTCAACAAAGCAGATGTACACAAGAGGGGATTCGACCCACGACCAAGGGAATATCAGTCACTCTTCCTTGCAACCCAGCCACTGTGCTACCGATGCTGAACCTAGTGTA